TATTATATAATAGATAAGATATTATATGCTATTTTCATGGACCCTAGAGAGCACTGGTTTTAATCTGAACCATTCAATTTGCGAAAAGTTACGAAGATTTCTCCTAAATAACTGTTTAAATGATTGGTATTTTCAATACTGCGTCTCTCACTGTTGTTGTTTTAACGTTTCATTAGTAAACATATCCACATCTTTCACTTTATCGTCTCCATTTATAGATAGATGAAACAGTTTATTTAGCTAATCCACAAACAAATCTAATAAACCAACAGCTAAAGCGTCTGCTAAATAAGTGTACAATGTTGACAAAGTAGTTCCTAATACACGATACCAATTTAGACACAATATCGTGCTACTTGTTGCCACGTATAACGAAATAAGCATCATTTATAAAGGAAAATACATTACGTATAAGGTATAATGTAATATGCACCAAGTATAAATGACCTATCGCCACTTGTCAATCATGATGACCAATTGATCAATTAGCGAACGTAAATTAGACACACCTCCAGGCATTGCTTACGTCCGCCATACAAAAGCAATGGCTTCAGCTAATTATCTACAATTATATCAAGCAAACATTTACATGTTTGCAGCAACTTATATCATTGATCAAGCTACCATCTGACGAACATAGTAGAACTTTAAACTTAAAATGTACAACAATATACTTCTAAACAGTAAATATTTACGATTTTGTTGTTCATTTTTAATTCATTTACTTCCAAGGCAGCTCGAACATAAGCCAGATCAAATTAATAAGGATAAGATTATATACTAAAAGCATTAGCAAATTTGGAAGCGAATTTCCTTGTACATGAAAAAGTTCTCGAGCAACTTCAAAATTGATTTATATTATTTGTTTAAAAAAAAAATAAGATTATTGATATACGAACTAGAACTAAAAATATAAATATTGTCCAATATTGTATAATTTATGCAACTTTGAGATTTCACATTTTTAAAAATAATATAGATCTTTTTCAAAAGATATATATATATATATATATATATATATATATATATATATATATATATATATATATATATATATATATATCTTAAGCTGAAACATTTTTTGCAAAGTACTGCATGCTTGTCGGAATTCAGAAGGGCATCAAGTCAGAAGATTTGGTAGGCGGTGTGATCTATCATCTCGCGTAAGGTCAATTGAATATCAACCACGTATAACGAAAAAAGTTTCACACATAGGAAAATGCACTACGTATAATTTATAATGAAATATGCACCACATGTAATGGAGTATCCACCACGTATAACGAAATACGCACCACGGATAAAGGAAAATACACTACGTATAATGTATAATGTAATATGCACACGTATAATGGAATAATCACCACGCATAACGAAATAAGCACCATGTACATAGGAAAACACACTACATATAATGTTTAATGAAATATGCACCACTAATAACGGAATACTAACCAAGTATAACGAAATAAGCACCGCATATAAAAGGACAATACACTGCGTATAATGTATAATGTAATAAGTACCATATATAATGGCATATCCACCACGTATAACGCAATAAGCACCATATATAAAAGAAAATACACTAAGTGTAATATATAATGTAATATGCATCACGTATAACGGAATATATACAACGTATCATGACATATGTACCACGTATAATAAAATATGCACCACGTATAATTGCATATGCACCAGGCATAATGTAATAAACACCACGTATTATGAAATACGCACTACGTATAACGGAATATCCACAACATATAATCAAATAAGCATCTCATATTTAAAAAGCTCTCAAGAGAAAACTGTCATAGTGTTCCATACGTGCCTTGAAGAACGTATGACAAAGGCTAACATTTTGGTTAAATTGGAAAAAATAATTTAAATAATAAATTTAGAAGAGCAAAGATACAATTTGTATTACAAACTCAGAAATCGCCTTTTTTACAGTAAACTCAGATTCAGAAACGACGTAAAAGATTAATTTTAAAACGTTTCATTTCTATATTAAATGTCATTATAACTTAACTCCCTAACATTTCCAATATATACGAGTCCCCGAATCAAAGCCTACTTAAACTTATTCATTGTGTGATTGTTATGCAGAACACAAGTTTGAACAAGAATCGTCGAGCGTGCAAATCAGTTAGAAAGCCCGTTACCAAGGCGTGACACTTCCTAGTTGTCTACAAACCATAATAATCTATAGTATAAACCATTTAATATATCAGCCTATATAAGCAAGCAAACTGTCAGCTAAGTGACAAAGTAAGGAAACAACTTTTTATAGCATAGTTTGAAGTTAGATGACTGTCATTACTTAATTAAGAAATAGTACGGTTAGGTTCATCGTGAGTGTGTAATTTATTTCGTATATACGGCAAGGATAACTGTTTTTTTTAATGATGAGAATAAAAAATATTGCCATCTGATTTGAAACGACATTAATCTGATTGGTGCTTATATTAACTAAGCTCGCAGACCTCTGCGGTGGCCTGGTGCTTAGAGAGTCCACTTCGGATACTGGAGGTCGCGGGTTAGAAAACCGACCTAGTAATACCAAAGACTTCTAAAAATGTTTAACAGCTACCTCTCAAAACGCTCAGCATTAAGAGGTAGGTGTTAATATTGGTCGGCCTGGTGTCAAAATAATGTGGGACATCATGCTACAAGTCTTCGACAGGATGTCCAAGTGTTAGACATCACTACAAACTGCTACACTGCAGACATCTTAACGATATGACTGACAAATTGTTAAAATTATCATAAAAATCCAAATCACACACACACACACACACACACACACACACACACACAGAGTAAAGAAAAAAGGTTGGGAACCATTGCTGTAGACGCATCTGTAAAACTATGAAACATTATGATATATTGACATGTGATAATTACTACAAAAATAACCCACATATTCTAGACAAACAAAACAGAAAGAAAATATAAAAACAACCGCATAAAAAAGAAAAGGAAAAAGTAAAAAGTGAATATGATATATAAGCATTGTCTCGTATAGTTGCTGATAGTTGCAGTGTGAGAAAGTTCGTTTTTTTTTCATCAAATGGTTGATAAATTCATTTAAAGTGCATGGTAAAGACTTCAATAAATACGCTGTTAAGTTTAACAGGTCCTAAAATCAAATTGCCCAAATGTCTTGTAATATTCTCATTTTTACTGCAAATTAGATCAATTCATTTAGTCAAATTTGGATGCCCCCAATAATATTTAGACTTGTACTTACCTCTGCATTTCATGCAACAGACATTCAGTGCCAAGTGAGATTCTTTTTCAATCGTATTACCGAAACGACATGTTGCCAAAATTCATTTGTCGTACGGAAATCCCAAACCGAGCATGACTAAAGACGCATAACCGTCCTATCAAAGGTATTCCGTAATCTAAGCCTAGGTAAGTAATTATCCGCCTGGCGATCATTGTTAATTTGTTGTTGAGATCTGCTTTAAGGTCATTACTCAGCGCGAGATAGGCCATACCTTGCAGCAAGTATAACTGGTAGACGATGAACCCCGGTAAAAAACCACCGAACCAAAGGAAGCTACTGGCAATTTTCTCAAATACCCTCATTTGCCGAGAATGGAACCCACGGGGACAAATGAGAGGGCTGTGCTCTGTAAAGGCGAGCGCTTTAAACCACTTGGCTACCAGAGTCTCTACAGGTACAGGTGTGAAAAAAATGTCAGCCGAGTTTACCTTGACCAAAGTACATACACTGGAGGACCCTACATCACATCTTTGTTATCATTTCATCAATTCATGCGAAGTTCAAACGGAAATATTATTTGTATGAATTTTGTATTAAAATATCGAAAGACTGCTATTCGCCAATAGTCCAGAAATGTACGTTATGTGGCTACCACATAATAAATATTTTCCTTGCTTGCCCTAATTGTGTCAGTACTAAAAATAAGTCTCTTATAAAACGTGTGGCAAACTGTAAAATTTGGACTAAATTGGAATAAATAAACAAATTAAATATTTTTCTTACAAAAATGTAACTACAAAACTAATTTTGCATAATCAGTATAAACAACTACTTATGCTGTAAATTCAATCGAAAAAAAAAACAGTGTAAAAGATTAATTTTAAAATGTTTCGCTTTGTGTTATAGGATAATATGTGATATATCGCTGCATGTGTAAAATTAGTTAGAATACTCGTTACCCAGCTGAATCGTTTCTTTGTTGTCCTATATCAATAATAAACATATACTAGGAAATTTAGATCAATATCCTTTTTAATATAGGTTTCCATTTACTTTCTGTCAAAATGCTCGTTTTCATTAAAGTTTGCGTTGTGTTTTGTATAAAAATACAACTTTCGTTGTTTGCTTTTCTTTGCTTTGTCTTTTCTCTTTCATTATTCTATTCAAGGCATGTTTGCAAGAAAATCAAAATGTGTTCTGTCAACTAAAAGAGTTGTCAAAACTGTATCCAGTTGTCCACTGATTTACTTACACATTGCTTGCAATTCACAAGATATAGTTGTCATATTGTTTATACTTAGACCCAATTAGCAAGAGAGTGGATATCACCCTCTTTGCCCCTGCAGAGGGGAGGCGAGCATTAAAGGCGTCCGCAAATACCAGTTTGTATTATATTGAGGGTCTATTATGGAGGCATTTGAAGATACGCCACTGCCCTCTACAATAATGTTTAACATAAATGCATGATTACATGTCTTGTCAATTCATCATTCGTATTCCTGGAAGCTTGTTTATGAGGAAGTGTGTGTGATTTGGATTTTTAACGTTTTAACAATTTTCCAGTCATGTCTCTACAATGTCTGCAGTGTGACAGTTTATAGTGATGTCTAGTACTGGGACATCATGCCGCAAACATGTATAATGATATCATACCTAGTCACATTATCCTGACACCAGGCCGATCAGTCCTAACACTAGCCTCTTAATGTTTGGCTCCTAGCAAGGAAGCTGCTGGTACCATTTTCCTAAGTCTTTGGTATGACTCGACCGGGGTTCGAACCCGCGACCTCCAACATTCGAGGTGGATGCTCAAAACACTTGGCCACCGGAGCGGTCTTATGAGAAAGTAATGATTGAACTGCCCTATTGCTGTATATGTAACACGATGCAGGATTTCGCCACAAGTAATCTTTAAAAGACATCAGCACTCAGCAGTGAGTAAGGTTATGTGAGAGTTGACTTCTTCGTTTGTTAAACCATATTCTATGTTTAAAACAAATGTACTTCACTCCATTCTTTCCCTATTATATTATGTTTGTTTTCTAAAGTAGTATATAACATTTAGCGTATTAACGTAACGAACACCTTAAAATAAGCCATTCAGAAACAAGTTTCCTTTTTCTAAATACATTACAGCCATTGATACCTCGTGTATGTACATTTATGATAGACGGTTGTTGTATTGTGTGCAGGACCGACTCGCATATACAGGCGAAACGACGCCCGACTTTAAGGGGCGCCAAATTAGACGGAGTAAATTTGCTTACAATATGGCGGTCGGTCGGGGATGGGGTGGGGTGGAGTGGGGTTGGGGGCACCAAGGTCATAGTTTGCATAGGATCCCAAAAGCTCCTTGGGCAGGACTTGAAGATATGTTCGTTTTTAAATGTAATAGTTACTTAATACTAGGATTATATTCGTGAAACACATATGTCATGCGTATATTGTTATGAGGGCGTTTTATGGTGTCATAAATGAAAACGAGATACATTTCACTTAATGTTCTAAAAGTACGTAACACGCCATGAATATAAATTAAGTTTATGTTAATCGTTAGAATCTTGTGTGATTGTAAGAGTGAAAAAGCTGTTATTTCTATGAAATGTATTTTAAATAACACGGACAGCTTGGATGGGAATTCGTCCATGATCAAATTCTGTACTGGGATTTTATTAACATTACTTGGGGCATGATGTAGGAAGGTACTTCCTTTAGTTCCATTGCAAATATTTGGCTTTACGGCAAAAAGTTTCTTAGAAATTTTTCAAAAATGTTCTTTTTTTATTTGATGCTTAAGTCGAGGCTTGTTTTCACTTTTTGGCCCATTTTGACAATTTGTAATGATGCTTTCACAAAGAATCAAATGACGTCGCATTTTCAACAAACAATTTTGTGATCCAAAACCCAGTCTCTCTGAAGACAAATACGCATTAAGTGAACAACCATTTAATTATGAGGGATATGGAATATAGTACTATTGCTATTTTTAACCTGGATATGTTTGTACCACAGGATAACCATTCATATTGTAAATAATATCAAAGATATACGTCCTACCTTTCTTTTATATCATATATATTTTGTTTTTCAATTTAGGTTAGACAAGGAATTTTTTATTTATATTTTCGAACATTGAAAGGAAATACGGACTGAACATTTTTATTCAAGACAAGAACAAATATGTAGCATTATAACACTGTATACATGTTAATTGTGCCATTTAGTGTTAAACGTATATAACAAATAAAAATACCTAAATTTTTCCTTTTTATGTAGAAGATACAGAATACCGTCAAAGCTCAATAATTTGATAAATGGACGAGGTGCTGATCGATGCCACAATAACCCTAATCACAAGAATCGGCAGTCTAATATTCTCTGTCTCGAAGCTTTAAACGTGATACAACATTATTTGTCAATTTTGCTATTGATAGAAATTATCGATTGTAAAATCAATACAGACGCACACCGTGTACATGTAAAAATTACGACTTCCTCATTATACCGTCCTATTATCTCCAACATTCTGAACATTTATCGAAACCCAGAATAGACTATTCATATTAATGTGGTTTACGCCTGTGCAAATCTTAAACCTCCATTGTTGTAGAGAGTAATCGAGAGCTTTCTTGTTCATTCTATATCACTTCCTATTTGAGTTGACTTCGGCAGCAAGTAGTAAGGAAGGGGATATTCTTAGACCTATCCTGTTTTCTTATTTTACATCTCGTGTCCATATACGATATTCTTATTTTACATCTCGTTTCCATATACGATATTCTTATTTCACATCTCGTTTCCATATACGATAGCATTTCTGGACCACGCTTTTGTATCTGCATCACGGTCTAAAAGCCTAAAATCTAACTCTAAAATTTTTCCATCCGAGTTTAGAGCAAACAGACTCTGATATCTTAATGCACATGGTCAGATGGTCTATTCAGTCCGTATTACCTTGGAATTTACCAAATGTCTAGCTCCATATTAGTTACAGAAACGGAGTGTTATTTTTATATCAGAGTTGTGCTGGCGTATATTTGAGACTGGTTATTTTGTGTAAAAAAATTATATATATATATATATATATATATATATATATATATATATATATATATATATATATATATATATATATATATATATATATATGTGTGTGTGTGTGTGTGTGTGTATGTATATAACAGATTTTTTATAACAGCGTGTTAATAATAAGTATACAATGGCCATAGACGACCTTTACATCATATCTAGTTAGCGTAATAGCATTATTTAGCCAAGATTCGGTGAAAATACTCAACAAAAAAAAAACGAAAATTACACAATATCTTCCTGTTTTTCTTATTCAAGCTGCAAACGTGAAATAACCTTAATTTCAATGTAAATTGTAATGAAACTGGTTCTTATTTTCAAACTTTCAATGCTCATTGTAATTTCAGCAAAAATAAACTGTTATTACAACTTACCGCTTTCTTCTCCCTTAGACCCCACCATCAGAATTAAATATTCATGCTGTTCATGCTATTGAATGCTTTACAAATATGAAGCCCACTTTATTGTTGACAGTAATGTATAGCTCGTTTATTCTTTTTTATAATTTCCTTTATGAATCTATTTTGGTAGCAAGTAGTTAGAAGTAGGACCTGCTCAGGCCTTCCCTTTTTTATTATTTCAAACTTCGTTTCTCGGTGTAAGAGATTTCTTGACCATGCCTTTCAAGAAAAGAAAAGGAAAATACAACCTGAAGGTTTTATGAACATAGATTTCAGAATGGGACTGTTTATAGACTTTCATATTAATTTCGTATCCCTAGTAAGAACATTCGTGGACCACTCGTGCATCTACAACACAAAAGTATGCAAGGACTGAAGACCATAATTCGAATGTCTTGATTTGTGCATTGAGTATAGTTTTAGCCAGACTAAGATGTAAGGCCCAACCAAAACTCAATAAAATTGTCGGAAATTTAAACTGAAGCAAACAAAAGCAATCAACAGTTAAATATTTACAGTTGTGTTCCAACAAAAGTGTTATAAATGCACTCCTGCAACTCAGTATGAAGGAGAGTCTCCTATTCATATAAAAATGTATAGCGAAGTGCCAACAGTTACTTAGTTCATTTGTTTGGCATACAATTTCACTGCGTACACTAAGTAAAACAAAAATAACTGAGAAATTATTCCAACACTGTATTCTTCTACAACTACATCATCAGTACCATACATGGAAATTTATTTACACCAAGATTATTCGTATCACACACACGTACATACACACACTCGTGTGTGTGTGTCTGTGTGTGTGTGTTCATTGATGTGTGTTCTTTGAACGCCTGACCATCAGGTACGTTGCAACTTGTCTGGATTGATGTTCTCTGATTTGCTAGAATTTTCAATCGGTTGCTGGGGTGGGGGCTATCTTCCGTTGTGAACAATGGTCACAGGAGCTTGAAACGGTCTTAGGTGAATCAGCCTCCGAAAACATATATACTGGTGACTTGAGAGCAAAACTAGTGTTTGATATTCCGTTATGTCCTTTGATTCCTGAGGAAACTAAAAACTATTTTTAAGGTTAGCGCTAGCACCCGCTCGACACATACGGCGTTTTCAGGATCCAGAAAATGTGATAAATTCAAATGACTGCAATGTCTTTATGCAACTTAAATTATTCCCACAGTCAAAAAGCAACATGAAAGTTTCAAGAAAATTTTCTTAGTAAATACGTTCAACCCTTTGTAAATTCCAGGAGGTGTGGATTTACAGTTTGTTGAATGACGATAGAGACAGTCCAGTCTGGGTCATATATTTATTTAGTAATCTGCAATATTATGGAACTATGATGAAATTTTTTTTTTAAACAATACGATTTTGCTACGTTGTGGGGCATCCAAAGGGACCTAAGGGAAACACACACATTGCTCTTGGCCTTTTAACCGGCCTTGACTATCATATCGTGCACTACCAGTAGCACTAGCAACCTTCGGTCATTTTCCTTAAGATTATACGAACCCTTACATTATTATCTGCTTAAAGATAACTATGCTCAAACGACATATTATGTAAGTTGACTATATATATATATATATATATATATATATATATATATATATATATATATATATATATATATATATATATATATATATTGGCATCCGTCCGTCTTTGGGAAACTGGTGTAACTCCGGTTGGATGTCCTAACCGCAAATTAGAGAATGGCTGAAGAGTCCGACCCTAGAGTGATAGTCTTTGTTGCACTTGCTGCAGGTGAACGTCGATTCTTGTTGAGGCTGTAGATGTTTCGCCTTCCTCCTGGCTCTCTTTGTGTTTCTCGCTTTCTGAACGCCTTGTCTGACAGCATTGCGCCAGGCAGATCGGTCGTCAGCACAGCTCTCCCAGTCATTGGCGTTGATATTGGCCGTCTTCATGTCCTTCTTGCAAACATCTTTATAACGCAGACGTGGCCGTCCAGCCAGTCGTGCGCCTTCTGCTAGCTCGCCGTATAGCAGGTCCTTGGGAATGCGACCTGGGTCCATTCTCTTGACGTGACCGAGCCAGCAAAGGCGCCTCTCGCTGAGAATGGAGAATATGCCGTTCATGCTGACGCGTTACAGAACCTCTGTGTTGAGTACTTTATCCTGTTCCTGGATGCGTAGAATGCGCTGTGGGCATCTCAGGTGGAGGCTTTTCAATTTTCTCTCGTGGCTCGCATAGGAGGTCCAAGTCTCGCTGATGTAGAGGAGTGTGCTGAGCACGCAGGCCTGGTTGACGAACAGTTTGGTCTTGTCAGTAAGGTTGGGATTGTTCATGACCCTCTAGTTCATTCTGGCCATAACTGCATCTGCCTTTGCAATCCTGCCGTTCACCTCAGCATCAATAGAGAGCGAGGTGGAGATGTTGGACCCAAGGTATGTGAAGTTCTCAATATCTACAAGGTTGTACCTATCAATGGCGATGGTGGGAGGGTAGACTGCGTCCTGCAACATGACATTCGTCTTCTTCAGACTAATGGTCAGGCCAAACTCCTTGCAGGCGTGGGAGAGGCGACATACCAGCTGCTGAAGTTGATCTTCTGTATATGATGCCAAGGATGCATCGTCGACGAAATGCAATTCGACAGAAAAATTTATTGGTAATTGAATGACGTGAGAAAAATGACAAGGGTTACACGAAACAAAGATATTTTTAGAATATTCTTGAATCATACCAGATGTAAGAAAATGAGATATATTTGGGCAGACATGAATCTGTCAAACCTACATTTTCTTTTTGTTGTCCATTCTAGCAATATTTATTTTCTTTCTGCTTTCCGACGGTTCACGTCGATGACTCGAATTACCACTGAACTATTTATATGTGTCAGTGCGTGCGTGCACGTGCGTGTGTGTATGTGTGTGAGTATGCAGGATTTTGGAAGGGTGACTACCAATAAATATACGAAAATCCATTTTACGTGTGGTGAGTTAAAGAATAATAAAATAACTGTTATTTTGACAAACATGCGACTAAAACAGTATAGTGAACTGGTCTTTGATTTTCAAACAGAAACTGTGTACACACACACACACACACACACACACACACACACACACACACACAATATTTGGAGTCAACGAAAATAGGTGTCATGAATGAAGCGAAAATAACAGGCTTTAATGGTAGTTTTTCTTTATTACAAGTGGTCGCGGATACGAATTTAAAACTTATTTAACGAATAGAGAGCAACCTATTTATCTAAATGAGTTTAACTGGAATCTGATTTGGGACCAAAATCGATCCTTATCAAATTTTATTCTAGTTTTAATGGAGGTAACAATCAAGATCTGGGTGTATTTTTACGTTATTGAACTGCACTTGAAGAAGATCTCTATTATAGAAATTTGACAATTTGAATTTTTAAATTGCATCAAGACTTAAGGGTTATATTTATGAAACTGTCTACTGTAGAAATAGTAAATACTGTGTATAGAGAATTTTACCCAATAACAAGACTAAAAATACATTGAAATTGAGGTGAAATGGATGATGTCACAACATTTATTTGTTATTTTACCTACCAAACTTTGGATGGGAACTAAGCAACAATTCCAAACGGACATTTAACAGGATAGAAAATAAATCCATCGAACAAAGCAAGAATGATAGTAGTGTTTTTCATAAGGCCACTTATAAATACCATCAGAATATAATTTGGACATTAACAGTCGCAATAAATATCAAATAAAGTACTCAAAATATTGAAATTAATTTGAATCTCAAAAAATAAACATAAATTATTTGAAGGGTGCTATCTTGGTATGAAGAGTAACAGACTGTTACGACTTTATAGTCTTAAATAAAGTAACATAAAAGGGCGAAGCCAACACGTTTTGTAAAATTGACGAACTAATTTTTTTCTTTAAAAGGAAAAGTGAACAAAACCTTAAAATATGGCGAATAATCCTAATATTTATATCCCAATTCCATAGTATCGATTATTCCAAATGAGTTTCAATGGTGTTCCGAAAGAAATCCAATCAATTGTGCTCATGTCTTATTAGTCTTGACGTGTTACAATTATATAATCCTAAATGCCTTTAAATGAATACAGATTAGTTCCAAAAAGCTACTAAATCTTAAAGTTTAAACATTTTGTAATTCTAATGAATAATTCAAATAAATAAATGAAATCTTCTAAACTGAATTAAATACAACTACTTGTCTCCTCTAAGACTATAACTAAAATTATAATACAAAACATGTTCCAAATATTGTCATTTATGCTTCTATGCTTATATACAGGAGGTACATTAGCCATCTATGTGTGTGAATCCATCCGTCCTACATGATTGTGCTAAAACTAATATATAGTTTGGTCAAACAATTCTTTATATTGAAAATATTATGCATGCATACATAAGTGTTAAATCTATCATTATTACCATTGTTTTGAAGATGATGCCATACGAACATGCCTACATAATAGTCATGTATATCACCTACCATTTGAAGACTGAAATGTTTAGCATCACATTTTATACATATTGACAATCATAATTTGGTATATTTATACTATACTACTCCTACTAAAAGTATCATATGAGTGAGCAGTCACATCATACTACTTATACACCATAACTGAAAAGTACCCCAAGAGTGAGCACTCACATTACACTACTAATACTACACTATTCCTACTAAAAAAAAGTAGCCAATGATGCAACACTCACATCGCGTTAAAATACTTATACTACACTACTCCTACTAAAAGTACCCTACAACGGAGCACACTCACATCATACTACTTACACTATACTACTCCTACTAAAAGTACCCCATGAGTGAGCACCCACATTACACTACTAATACTACACTACTCCTACTAAAAAGTAGCCAATGATGCAACACTACTCCACCTACATGTACCTTATGATGTAGCACTCACATCATGCTACTTATACCATTCTACTTATACTATACTACTCCTACTAAAAGTACCCCATGATGGAGTACTCACATTACACTACTTATACTATACTACTCCTACTAAAAGTACCCCATGATGGAGTACTCACATTACACTACTTATACTACACTACACATACTAAAAGTACCCCATGATGGAGCACTCACATTATATTACTTATACTATTCTACTTATACTAAAAGTACCCTATGAGGAAGCACACTCACATTGTACTACTTATACTATACTACTCCTACTAAAAGTACCCCATGATGTACTCACATCATACTACTTATACTACACTACACATACTAAAAGTATCCCATGATGGAGCACTCACATTATATTACTTATACTATTCTACTTATACTAAAAGTACCCTATGAGGAAGCACACTCACATTGTACTACTTATACTATACTACTCCTACTAAAAGTACCCCATGATGGAGTACTCACATCATACTACTTATACTACACTACACATACTAAAAGTACCCCATGATGGAGCACTCACATTATATTATTTATATTATTCTACTTATACTAAAAGTACCCTATGAGGAAGCACACTCACATTGTACTACTTATACTATACTACTCCTACTAAAAGTACCCCATGATGGAGTACTCACATCATACTACTTATACTACACTACACATACTAAAAGTACCCCATGATGGAGCACTCACATTATATTATTTATACTATTCTACTTATACTAAAAGTATCCTATGAGTAAGCACATAAACATATTTATGATTGTGATGGGTATATGGGACTTCTGGGAGCGTTTCAACAAATCAGGGAGCGTTTCAACAAATTTATGGTTGTGATGGGAGTATGGGACTTCTGGGAGCATTTCAACATATTTATGATTGTGATGGTAGTATGGGACTTCTGGGAGCTTTTCAACATATTTATGGTTGTGATGGGTGTATGGGACTTCTGGGAGCATTTCAACATATTTATGGTTGTGATGGGAGTATGGAACTTCTGGGAGCTTTTCAACATATTTATGGTTGTGATGGGAGTATTTGACTTCTGGTAGCTTTTCCTGCTGCGATATAGTGTCCATCCTCAATAAACTCCCAAACTTGTTAAACAGTTTTATAGGAATCTCAGATCTTTTCGGAAGTTGAGAAGTTTCTTTAATCCTCTCCTTGTTTGGTTTAGAGCATGCATTACCAATTGTGTGAGTGATGTGATTATCATGATTTTTAATGTAGCTTTAACAATTTTTCAGTCATATCACTTCGATGTCTTTTGTGTGCCAGTTTATAGTGATTTCTAGCACTGGGGCATCATGCTGCAGACATGTGGCATGATGCCCCACCCAGTCACATTATCCTGACACCAGGCCGACCAGTCCTAACAATAACATCTTAATACTGAACGTCAAGCGAGGCAGCTGTTAGTACCATTTTTGTCAGTCTTTGGTATGACTCAACTGGGGATTGAACCCACAACCTCCCGCATCTGAGGTGGATGCTCTAACCACAAGGCCATTGGAGCAGTATCCAATTGTGTGAGTGTGTTGTTGCTCTATTACTGAGCCATATTTGACTGGTTTCTTTACAGGAGAAATAACACATAGAATAATTCACATCAACAAACTTCAAACACTGAAGCCAACAGACCCTGCTACAAGAATCACAGGAATGATGACGTGAACAATTTTTCAGTCATATCGCTACGATGTCTGCGGTGTGGCAGTTTATAGTGATGTCTAGCACTGAAGCATCATGCTGCAGACATGTAGCATTATGTTCCACCCAGTCACATTATCCTGACACCAGGCTGACCAGTCCTAACATTAACCTCTTAAAGCTGAGCATCAAGCGAAGCAGCTGTTAGTGCCATTTTTGTAAGTATTTGGTACGAATCGACCGGGGATTGAACCCATGGCCTCTTGTATCCGAGGCCGATGCTCTAACCACTGGGCCACCGGAGCAGTTCACAAATTGATGGTAATTGCTTTATTCTGTTTGAAATTAACAATTAAATCTTCTTGCCCTGCTTCAGCCATTTTACACGCAATCACTGGCAGTTTTATCTCATCTGGGAGGTTCACATGGTTGGGTGGTTGCTAACACGGGATTTGGTGGCATGAAGACTGAGAATTTGGCTTGAATATCAGGCCTTGAAATGTGCTTTTAGGTTTAGACATCATTTCCAAAAGTTTTCTCTACTCTAGATGTGATGGCACTGGAATGTGTTAAGCAGGGCTGTGGCTTTCACAAATTTAATGGCCTCAGCGAACTTCATATCCTTTTCCTGTTTGAATCTCCAGCTATTATTTCCATTTGCAGCTATCTCTAGTGTATGAGAAATGTTCTGCCTAGAAATTTGTATATGAGACTACTGCGAGCATCTGGGACAGATTGGTTTAATCTTATAGTGGCCATATTTCTGACAGTTGAAATAATGCAATGGATTATGAATGAAATTTTCAACAGAAATGATGAGAAACCTAACTTTGATTTATGCATGTCAAATGGAACAACTGAACATCAGGATGCAACTCAATATTACAGCAGATGTTGATTCAGATCACTTGAGAAACATTCTGAGAACCAAAATCTGAAAGCATCTCAGCTTCATTATAACCATCAAATTTCAACAACTGTGACCCAAAAAGACAACAGTTTAAAGCCTCAAAGTGGTCTTGAACATTATAAGTGATCTTCAAGCATATTAAAACACAAGATAATTATCAAAACAAATATAATCAAACCAGCTGTGAGTTTTTACAGGAGAAAAAATTTTTTAAACAAGGTCATTATAATAAACAGCACATTTTTTGTTTGACCCAAAGAAAAAGAACCATCATATGAATATTTTTTTAATGTAAATTCTGCAGAAAATGTAAATACACTACTCGTCTTAGAGTCCTCTGATAACTCACTATGCTGCTTATAATGAGTAGTCAGATGCAGATCCCTTGCTCTTAGGAAAGGTTTGCGGGGTTTTTTTGTAAATGGTTCTTTAAAAGCTAGAGCAAGTGAATAATTTCATATATACATTTGTGTTTTCTACTTCACTTTGTCCAAAATCAAACTCACTGTATACCTGACCAGGAAAAATGATTTTGTGTACCACATAACACATAATATTTCTTTTGAATGAAGATTAAATATTAGGATCATTATCAAGGGAGGTAAATGTGTTATCTGAATCTGAGTCTAGCACATTGAAATTCTCCAATGTTAAAGCCTGATGTACCTTATGATTCCCATGTTTTGTATTATAATTTTAGTTATAGACTTTATTTTGTTGACAACTTAGAATGTTCTAGAAATTAAGATTTTTACACTGATTCTATTTTTGTGTCTTAGTTTTTAAAATAATGTTGCTTACTCAAGAAATTACTCAATATTACCTTAAGCAGCAGAGAGGGTGAATCCTACAACAATATATTTGCGACAAAATCGATTAAAGCCTCAGAATGCCAATGGAGCCTTCCTACGAAATCTCATATTTTAACCAAAAAAAAATTAAAGGTCCCATTTTACAATAGAGCCTTAGCGATTTTGTCGTAAATACATTGTCATAACCACACTCAAATTGCTGCCATCTACGTCTACAAATTTTTGCGACAAAATCGATTAAAGCCTCAGAATGCCAATGGAACCTTCCTACGAAATCTCATATTTTAACCAAAAAAAAAATAAAGACCCCATTTTACAAATGGAGCCTTAGCGATTTTGTCGCAAATACATTGTCATAACCACACTCAAATTGCTGCCATCTACGGTCGCAAATATGTTGTCATTTCACCCTCTCTGCTGCTGATTAATACAAATTATTTGTTAGCTTTTCACAAACAGACTAATCGATAATACTTCACCACGTAGATCAATTAAATTATTTGACTGATCGGTGAGTGTAAAATTAATTCTGGTTAGTGAATCATTTTGACATTGCATATAGACTGGATTAGTCGGATTCTCAACAATTAAAAATCCGGGGGGTGCTGTTGGTGAAAATGAATAAAGAATGTAACCTTGTCGGGCTTGATTTGATTGTTCCATATTAATTTGATAACTTCCTTCGATTACATCACACGTTAAATTAAGTGCGATCACCGATGAAATATTCACATTGTTCGGTGCGATATGTCTACCGTCGCCGTCGGGAGAATTATTATAAGTGAGGATAATAGGCTTCGGCTGGCTATCTTTCCATGATTGATAGATTTTATTAAATCCTTCGTCGATGGCAGTTCTGAGTTTTTTCTTTAACTCGGGAACATTATATCCTGGTAATTTATAATTTGGATTTTCATTTATATTTTTTTTATAATCTTGAGCTGAGCTAGTTTTTGAAATCGGGCTATTTTCATCAGTGAAGAGATTAGTAATCCTCGAATTAAATATTTCCATGTCATCGATGATTTTATTACCCGCGGCGACTACACTAGTAAACTCAGCTTGTGTAAGAAAGCCAGATCTTAATGAGGGTAATAACGACAAAAAATCATTATTCATTCTATCAAGGATGTGATCTTTAATGTCTACAAATGTTGGACTTGTTTCATGTATTTCCAGAATTTCACCTTCCTGTGGGATATAATCATTAAAAAATGGAATTCTCCACACATCTTCACCATATTGATTCTTACGTCGATATCTTTTTGTGAAGTTTATATCCTCGAATTTTTTATATCCTTTTGATGGATTTTCAGGTCCTATTTCATCAGTGACGTAATCAGATTTTACAGGCTCGGGCGTGGAATTATCAGCACTTCTAGGTGTATCTTCGGGCCATCCTAATACTGTTCTTATTGAACTGTTATAAATATCTACAACATACCCAGGAGAGCCTATTTCAATTGTAGATGATAGTGTTGGTTCATGAACTGTTATCGCAATTTTTGATTCTTTTTTAGTAATGGATTTTATTCTACGTTGTAATTCATTATTAATTTGCTCAATTTGATAGGACCCAGTTGGTATTGAAACAACGTTCCAATCTGGAGTGTCATCTTTTTTATTCCTATATGCAAACACCAGAGAATTATTAGGTCTCTGACCGCCAAATGGAACCGATCTGATATTAGGCCAACTATGATACACTCGTAATTTTGCCAACGCGATTTCCTTTACTGAAACAGGCGAGGGAAAATTCACACTGAATTTAGGGTTTGTTGACGATATTGATATCATACTTGTTTTCCGCGGAGTGGTATTTTCTGCTATCCGCTGAAGTAGTTGAATCTCTTGCGACATTATTATTATTATTATTTACAATGTCTAATTTTGCAATAGATGAAAAAACGCTAGCGTTTTTAATCGTAGTATCATAAATACGTATCATCGCGGAGAATTCGTCTTCGGTAATTATCGTATCATCAATCGATGATGACATCAACGAGGATAATTGTGAGTAACCGTTAGATACTGCTTGATGTTTTACTATATAGTCGTTAAGTTTTTCTTGAGAACACGATGATATTTTTTTAGTAATAGCATTTGCAAGTCCAGCAAATGTTGTCACCGCGGAAATAGCAATTGGGACAGCAATCGGAGCTACCATTGTTACTGAAGATAGTATAATACCAGCACCGGCCATTATACCAGATACCGAGTATACTGTAACATCAATTGCGGTAATTCTCCTGCGATACTTTTTAATTTTTATTTCATATTCATCAATGAGTGTTTTGAGTTTTGTTAAGAAGTCTTTGACGGTATCATAGCGATATTGCGATGATGGAATCATATTATTTTAAAGCCTCAAGTGGTTTTTAATTGTTAAAAATTCTAATTTAGATCAGCTACAAACTCCATGTACCATACAAATGATGTCTTATTTAAATTAGGATCAGTGCTTGTTATTGTAAACCGTTTGTATTCACCCACGTCAATAGTCGTTGAAATCACGTTGTTGTATCCATATGAAGTCGATGATGATATATTAAACTGATTCAGTGACACTATTGTTAATCGATAAATACCCTTGTTTGACACAGTGAGGGTTACTGTATTCTTTTTAGGTTCCCAATCTAATGATCCAGAGAGAACTGTGTATATCATATTTATGATATTTCTCTCATGAGGAATCTTTATTCTTTCAAGTAGCGGAAGATTGTCTGTTTTAAATTTTGTAATATCCTCGATAGATTTTTTAATACTATTAATGTTATCTCTAATAATACTAAATCCAGTATCATTAATATTTTTAATACTAGCTTTAATTTCATCAAAATTGGATTTAATTTCAGCGAGAGATGGAGAGGTTACCGATGGTGTTCCAAAAAATTTATTGATAATATTTCTACGAAGGGAAGTATATGTTGTTATATGTTTTTCAAGTTCTTCATTTAAATTTTTTAATGCATCTGTGATTGTAGAAACGAGTACACCCGGTTTGAGTTTTCCATCATTTGAATATAACGCTATTGTATCTTCAACGACGTCACGTCTTCGTATTAAGACATCATCCAATGAAACATTACTAGATTTCAATTTGCCCTGGCGATCTTGAAATACAACTATTTCCCCAGGATCTACACTTGACAAATTTAATGTCTCGGCGATTTCATCTTCGATTATTTTTTTTACACTTTCGACAGCGAATTTGCTATCGGTTTCTGTTTTTTTTGATTCTGATAAAGGTCGTCCCCAAATATCAATCATTATACGAAAATGCTACGTTTTTCTAAATCATAACGCTATCGTTTTTGCCATTGCCTGCTAGTATATTCATTAACAACAACTTGTGGTGGTTTTCTTGGAAATTTAGATATCTCTGCAAGGAAGTTTAATACTTCACGACCGCATATCGGTGGATCATTTAACTGTTGTGTTGGTAGCGTGGAATAAAAAATTGGAGATGACTTTGTTATTGTGGATACATATCGCATGAATTCTTTTGGTGGAGCTAATCCATATGAATCAAAATAGACAATTCCACGTGGATCAATTGCATATGCGACCCAATGAGTTCCTTTTCCG